AATTAGTAACTGCATCGCACCGAAAAATTTGTAATTTTTCGAAAATTAAAAACCTCACCATCGGTTTTCATTTCCGTTTCGGTTTATTGGTTTGATTTATACGGTTTTTTTCGGGTGTCTATAAATTCGGTTCGGTTTTTGCAAGGATATATTGGATGCTCAAGTTCCTTTTCTTTTAGGTGCTGTTTGTTTTTTCGAAGAGAAAATTCATTATGTCTGCGAACCACCTTTGCAATCCTCTGTAGCAGAAGAGGTGGAACAAACGGCTGCAACCTATAATAATAAGCGTGTTTGTTTTTTTAACATCTGCAGACTGCTGCAGTAAGCTGAAATTTAAATAAACTAACTTTATTAACTGAAAATAGTTCTCAACACCGAAATTTTAATAATTCTAGTCTTAAAACATTGAAAGAATACTAAAAAGAATATGTAAAAAAACAAAATATAAATTTTAAAAAAAAAAACTTAAAAAAATATAAAACAAGCTAACAGTTTTATTATAGAAAAAAAACTAATTGTAAAAAACATAAAAAAAGAAAATAATAAAAAAAATTAGAAAGTATTGCAAACGATGTCTACAAATTTGTAAAAAATTACACACATTAAAAAAGATGCAACTGAAACTGAAATTATTATTAACAGAAACGGTAAAAAAATTAAAAAAATCAAAGTTTTTTTTTTAAATCAAGTTAAAAAAATTTGTGGAAACTATAAAAAGAATTTGTATCAAATCCGTAAATAAAAGTTTAAAAAAAATCAAAGTTTAAAAAAAATAAGTTATACAAAGTTCTAAAAAAAACACTTGGAAAAAATGAAAGCTGAAGAGGTTTGAAGAGAAAAGTCAAGTGTTGCGCCACGCAGCACACGCGCAAAAGTTTTGTAGTCTGAAGCCTTCCAAAAAACAAACTGCTGCGAGAGGGAAAGTGTTGCGCGCGTGCTGCGCCGCGCAGCAAAAAATGGTTTGAAGAAGTTTTTAAAAAAAAAAACAAATAACATCTTAGTCTTGGAATCAACAAGGTTTCAAGGAATAAGCCAATAAGGTAGGAATTCGTTTTCCTTTGTCTTTGGGCTTTGTGTCATTGCATCATGATGTAAATGTAGTCGGGCTAAACAATATTGGTTTGGTGTTTTATAATTTTTTTTTATGATATAAACACAAGTATGTGATGTATTTCCGATATTAATGAAGTATTACAAGATTTAGGAACCACCCATTGGTGATTTTAAAGTTAATGGTAGACCTGGCAAACGTGTCGTGTCGTGTCGGGTTCGTGCCGTGTCAAGACCTTAAACGGGTTGAGAGTGCTTAACTCTAACCCGACCCGTTTAATTATCGTGTCGTGTCGTGTCAACCCGTTTATTTTCGTGTCGATTTCGTGTCGGGTTTCGGGTTAAGGTTTAAACCTTATAAATATGTTGTGTCATGTCGGGTTGAAACATTTTAAAGGTTGAAAAGTAAGACTCATGGAGGAAAAATACTGAGAAAGTGAAATGCTGGAGTTGGGAGGTGGAATGGAAAAAAAATTATACTCCCTCCGTCCCATATTTATTGTCCATTTTTGACTTTTGAAGTTTTTATTTTTCTACTTTGACCTTAAATAGTTTTATTTGTGTTATAAATTACTTGATAAAACTTATAACAATGAAAATACATTTAAAACACAATCCATTCATATATTTTGCATTAAGTGTTATATATCAAAAACAAAAGTATTTAAGGTCAAATTTGAAGAATAAAGACTTCAACAGTCAAAATTGGACAATAAACATGGGACAGAGGTAGTGGTAAGTTTAGAAAGAAAAATGGAAAGAGTTAAGAGTTAGGATGCAAATGAGATAGATAGTAGGATGAGTAAAATTAAGTCATTTTAAAAGTTTGAATTTTACTTTTAATTCTTGAATTTGGGCCACTACAAATGTATAATATTGAAAATATTTATA